TATATTTAGTATTAGGTATTGGTTATAATTATAATATTTAAGTATTAAGTATTGGTTATAATTATAATATTTAAGTATTAAGTATTGGTTATAATTATAATATTTAAGTATTAGGTATTAGTTATAATTATAATATTTAAGTATTAAGTATTGGTTATAATTATAATATTTAAGTATTAAGTATTGGTTATAACTATAATATTGAAGTATTAAGTATTGGTTATAATTATAATATTTAAGTATTAGGTATTGGTTATAATTATAATATTTAAGTATTAAGTATTGGTTATAATTATAATATTAAAGTATTAATTATTGGTTATAATTATAATGTTTGAGTATTAAGTATTAGTTATAATTATAATATTTCAGTATTAAGTATTGGTTATAATTATAATATTTAAGTATTTAGTATTCGTTATAATTATAATATTTAAGTATTAAGTATTGGTTATAATTATAATATTTGAATATTAAGTATTGGTTATAATTATAATATTTAAGTATTAAGTATTGGTTATAATTATAATATTTAAGTATTAGGTATTGGTTATAATTATAATATTTAAGTATTAAGTATTGGTTATAATTATAATATTTGAATATTAAGTATTGGTTATAATTATAATATTTAAGTATTAAGTATTGGTTATAATTATAATATTTAAGTATTAAGTATTGGTTATAATTATAATATTTAAGTATTAAGTATTCGTTATAATTATAATATTTGAATATTAGGTATTGGTTATAATTATAATATTTGAGTTATGTATTAGTTTTGATTATTATATTTGAATATTAAGTATTGGTTATAATTATAATATCTAAATATCAAATAGATTGTAAAGAGGTTTTCTAATTTTTTTATGTGTATCGGGGACTCTGATAGCATCAATTATCACCATTTCAATTTTAAATCAGACCTCTGAAATTCCACTAAAACCAAGTATTTGGTGACAATTCCTTTGAGTAATGGTTACAATTATAACATTTAAGTATTAAGTATTGATTATAAATATTATATTTTTAATCTCAATATTTGTAAAATAGAATATGATATCGTGATATAAACTATATATTTTCTGTTTAATTAAAGCATTGTAATTAACTTGCCAATTAATCAATATCTCAAATAAAAAACTTTCTATATCAATCAGAAATCACGATAAATGTTTTCAAATTTTAGTAGAAACTTGTATTGATATGACAATTTAGACACTACCATGAATATGTTTGAGTTTAATATAAAAAAATGATTTCAGAAATCATGGAACCCTGTTAACATTCTGTCAATACAAAACAATTTTGCTGAACAATTTTTTATGATCTGGTGGGGCTCACAGGTCTAACTTATTAATACTTTTTCTGGTGAAATATTGTATCTATTCCAACTATAATGGAAATGGAAGTTTGAAGGGATCAGTGCGCCATTTTGGAGGGTTGGTGTGAGTCTTGAAAATATGTAAATAGTCTTCAGAAGTACTAGAAATGTATAAGAAAATCGCATAA